GAGGTGCATGCACACTCTGAGCCAAGCTCCGTGGTTACCAAGTAGGCTGCGCAGATAGCAGTCCATTATCCATGTCCACAGAGAGAAGGTCATTTAGATTTTTATACTTTGGTTCTAAAATTATATTGCGCAACATGTTAAGATACAACCAGGGGGCTTGCGGGACAGCAGGAGGTGATGGATATCATAAGCTCTTGGAGTAATCAGCCCATTCATACCACAGGGGCATGCAAATGAAAAAAAAATACCAATTGTTACAGAATTGATTTGTAGATTAAGCAGCAGCCAACCATGTAGTGCCGACGTCAACAGGCAGAAGGTGAAGAATTGGCGATTGCGAATTTCTTTCCCTCTATTCCTTATGCAGGACCACGTCCGCTGTGCCGTTGCCTTACCCTTCCATGTACAATGGTCCTTGATTGCACACTGGCTAATGTGGCCAAGATCTGAGCATCGAAATTTCGGTGTGTAGATGTTTAATTTCGATGACCTGCTGCGGTGGGATTACATAAGGTTTCATATATTTTATCACGTAATAAAATAAGTAATATTTGAAAAAACTTTTTTTAAACACGCTTTAATGAAATGTACCGTACTCGTAATGGCAGAACTCCACGACTCCAGAAAGTGGCCCGAGGCTTGCCAGAACGTAAGGGACCGTGGTGATTTACAGCCAACATCAGTTGAGCATGGACAATTAGACCCAAGCCGAAACATAGCATTAAAAATAATCATGTTTAAAAATATATATTTTAATTTTTTTTATGATAGAATATAGTATTGTCATCAGTACGACATAAGTATACCAAGTTAGCAGTCGATACCACATTGGGAAGTGGGTTAAAATTGAGTTACGAGATTTAAGAATACAACAACAGACAGAGTGAGTTAAATAAAAAGCGTGTAAGACAATGAGGCAAGCTGAAACATAACAAATAAAAAAGATTGTTTAAATTTTTGTTTATGATAGAATATAATATTGTCATCAGTATGACATAAGTATACCAAGTTAGCAGTCAATACCACATTGGGAAGTGGGTTAAAATGGAGTTACAAGATTTTAGGTCACAATAACAACAACAGACAGAGTGAGTTAAATAAAAAGCGTGTAAGAGTCGCGACGGAGCAGAGGACACAGTGGTTTAGTGCACCGCACAATGAACCCGGCGAGTTCGATTCCTGCCCATGGTTGTTGACATCAGTGGGCAGTGACATCTGAACCGGTCCTTAGCAACACCCTCTCTTCAACCACACTGACCGGAGTGGTGAAGTATGGTCAAACAACCCGCCATGGCCAACACAGCGTGGGGGAATCTTTCATCAGGAAGTAGAATTGACAAGGAGCTGTACATTATTTAATGCGAACGTAATTAAATCGCTACTGTTTCCCTGATTGAACAATTGCTGAACTAATACTTTGAAATAATTTAACATAACCAGGTGGAATAAACAATCGCATCATTTAAAACCAGTTCAATATCCATGTATCCACCTCCATATATCGATTGGCAGACATTTGCCCACTTCCCATGACATATCTCCTTATCTTCTTGGTTCTTTCGGTAAAGTCACGTCGAAGGGAAATAATAAAATAATACAAATAAAACATAATAAAATAAAATTCTCACGACGTTTCAGACGCTGTCTTTCCGACAGACCTGTTCTTCACCTGAGGACGGCTGCTTGCGTTGTGGCCGAAACGTCATGAGAATTGTATTTTATAATGTTTAATTTTTATTATTTTATTATTTCCCTTCTACGTGACTTTACCGAAAGAACCAAGAAGATGAATCCCTGCAGTCACGAAAGCTTTACATCGAAATATCTCCTTATTTTAGTGCCACGAATTCTCCCACAGCCACCGACCCAAAGCCTGTCCCCCGATTTCTGAAACCTTCCATACATTCCCGTCTCACGTGGCAGCACCTTCCCTCTGACATGCCCCCCCCCCCCCGACCCTCCACGGACTCACAAATCCCTGGAATGTCCCTCACCTCACGCCTCTGCGCATTTCCCGTCGCTCCCCATCGCTCCGTGCCCTGCTCACCCCACGCATCTACGAAGACAAAAGATCCCTCGTGTAGCCCGTAACAGACTGTTGGGGGCACGCGTTGTTCGCGAGCAGCGCCTCTGAAGGCCGGCACGGGTCACACGAGGGGCTGGGTGGCCGGCACCACCACGCCCGGCCGCCTTTGTCTCCCCCAGTTGCGATGTTTGCACACACACCGCACCGGGTACTCGATTGAGGACCGAGTCGACCTCAGGGGAGCCCCGGGACTGGTTGAGATAATTCGCTCCGGTGTTGGTCGCGGGCGGGAATCAAACTCGAGTGGCCCACATCGGCAAACACGCCGTGCCGACAGACCCAAGCGCCCTATTGCCCGTTGATGCGTCGGCGTGTGCTCGCGAAAGGACGCGGGTCACCCAGGAGAGAGAGAGAGACAGAGTAGGGAGAGGGGGGTAGAGAGAGAGTGAAGGGCTAAGAAGGTGGAGAGCAGAGCGTGAAATCTTTTGTGAAATCTTTCATTTAAAAAGAATAAAAACAAATTAAACGAAATGATGAACAAAGCAAAGTGCCGACTACACCGAGCATCTTCTTGTTTCCTCTGATCGTAAAAAAAAGAGAGAGGCGTCCTTTTAATGCCAACGCGAGGAACGCCGCCGGATCTGTCAGTCGGATGTCACCGCCGCGGTTAGCCCCAGAGTTTGTGTTGTGTGTGCTCACGTGAAGTGCGCCTTAATCCGCCCCATTTACTCACGCATTTTGGGAAATGTGCCTCCCACTGCCTTGTGCATAGGTCTACTCTAATTCTCTCTCGCTTGCTTGTGAATGTTTTCATTTTGAACGTTTTGTAATTTAAATACAGTAAAGTTGCCGTCATTAATATGACCTCATTCACATGATACACAGTATATCGCACACTGCAGTTCTCTTTTAAGACTCGTATTGTCATGTTAAATGATCACATTTTCTATACATTACTTTTTGGGCAATCATGCATTTCACAATCTAGCATCTGTCTGTTTGCCTTATTTGTATCAACATTCGAAAGGCAGTAAATATGATGCAAGGGGGTCGGAAGGACAGCCGCACAGTGATGAGATAGGACACATTCGTTAATAAACCACCACGCGAGCTCCGGTCATCCGCGGAGTGGCTGTTGGCTGGCCATCGGACAAAGACGGTCACCGCATCCCACACTTTCAGATGCACTTCTGCGTCCGTCTGGAACGCTCTTCCTTCCGATATTAGGAATCCACTGGAGCTATGCACTTTTAAATCTCGATGGAAAATTCATGACTTTAGAACTGTTTTTTCGTGTGTTTAGTTTGTTGTCCTTCCCCCACACCGCCGATGAGCACGGTTGGCTACGTACGGCGCAAAATAAGTTCAACATACATACATACACACATACAATATGAGGGGTACCCACTGTAAGTGGAATACTTTTAAGAGCTGGCCGTGGAGGTCAAGTATGGGCTCTAAAACCGAACACTGATGGGATCTGACAGGAAGGAAGGAGCTGATGAGTCTAGTGGCACCAATGGCATGAGCTGAGATGATCTCTTTCACTCACTGAGCTGGACTGCCTCCCTCGGCCCTGAGGAGTTATCTCTGAATGTGGTGAGAGGGGGGGGGTGGAGGGGGTATGGGGCAATACTGCTGGTAACTGGGTGGCGTAGCTATGCCCCCCCAGATCTTCCCATCGTACCATCATATCGAAAATTAGGCACTTAAAATAAGTCAACGAATGAAATGAATATAAAACTACATGGACAGAACCCATAAAAAAAATAAAACATTGGATTATATGTATGATGGAACCCATCAAAAAATAAAACATCGTATTATATTCATGATGCGTTTTCATAAATATATATTCATGATAAATAAACTTTGTGAAATTAGTCTGACCAAAAATTACCCTTGTGCTTTGTTATTTTGTTTTACAAAGTTATATTTAGAAAGGGAAGTTTGGAGCTAAGTGACATGATTGTTGACTATGCTACACACTGGCTAAATTAAATCAGTACATGCAGAATCTACGATGCATAATATTGTTTTTTGTGTTAGATCGCGTAAATATAAATGTGTCGTTAAACCCGCCACCACCCGACACAGCTAATGAGTAAGGCTTGTCACGTAAACAGAACATGCCAATTCGTTACTAGTACAGCACACCGGTTGTGTGTTGGAGAGCAAATCCACAACATTTACAATTGCAACCTTACCTAATTGGCTGTGTCGGGTGTTGGTGGGTTTAACGACACATTTATATTTACGGGATCTAACCCAAAAAAACCTATATCATGGATGCTATTGGTCGCGAAAGCCTACGTATTACAATCTACGATGTCATCACAATACCAATTTTATGGGGCCATAAATTCAGCAGTCAACAATCCTTGACACATTTTAAGAAGCCCTGGCAGGTGACGCGGTTATTCATTCTGACTTTCTGAATTGAATTCCGACTTCCTGGTATCCTAAAGATGCTTGTTGTAGTTTCAAGGAAAACGTTGCATATTTAATTGCAAAAAAAATATTCTGAGAAGTGTTCTTCGTCAGATCGGAAAGCTGAAATAATAATATTAATAATTGGCATGTTCAACACTTATACCCTGTGAACATTTAATTTATTTGGTCAGATTATGAGTTGCCGAACACAACACATCATTGTGAATCACGGTACTGGCTGTGAAAGTTGAATCAACATAGCAACACGCTTTAAAAGTGCATCACATTGGTAAAAATATTAATTGAACGTTTGTGCCTCATCGTTCAATCATAATAATATATGTCATATTTTAATTTTTTTAAGTGACGTAGTTTTCATTGCTATATTGACTCTAATATGCATTTTTGTTTTCAGTATAGTGCCAACACTTTACAGCTGTATTTTCATTTACAACATCAAATAATTCATTGTAAAATGTTTCTCTTTACATCTATATAAGTCGTCTATTATATTTATGAGTGTGTAATTGCGTTTTATCATCTGCCCTTAGAAGGGGTCTTGACCTTTAATGTATCATTTGAGTTGTCTATTACTGTTCAATGCAGAAACACAAGTGCTGCAGTGAGTGTATGTTGTCAAAACAATAGTGCACGGCGGTTTATTTGGATATATTGTTCCCCACCCATTATAACATCTACTTTGAAGTGCAGAAACACCATTAATCAAGCTGGCATGTAACCAATCACGAGCATCGATCTCATCACATTAGTGCAACAAACCAATCAGAGGCACTTTCTGCTGTAAGATGGCATTGTGGGGCAGATCCTGACCCCGTATTAGAATTAGCTAATGGCAGGTCAGGACACTGCACACAAACCATATAAGCCAAGCAGATGAGACCAACATAATCAATTATTCCATCCATTGATTGGCTCCGGCAATCTCAATGAGTATGATCATTTGAGGTAATAATCAATTGGTTTTTATAAATCATGTTTACTATCCAAGTGTATTTGCTAAAGCTACAGAAAGCACTCTCTTATTTGATTATTATTTACTTACATTGTGTACTAATTACTCATTCCCAATATTACTTTGCTGCAACTGTTGTGGTGCAGTGGATAGCTCAGGTGCATTATGGGTAACCTTATCTCAATCCTAGACCACAGCTGACATAATTGTCGAGTGATATCCGAACCCATGCTAGTCTCCCCTTCATCAGCCCACGTTGACCAGCATGGTGAAGTATACAACAAAACGCATAACCATTATGGGACGAGGAGGCCTTTAACCAGTACAACTGTAAATTAGCATTGGTATTGATATTGCCTGCATAGCAATTGTGTTTAATATATATGAGGTATTGTACGTGTTATCGTGTCAACCCGAGTTTGTAAATCACTTTCACGAATCAGCCCCCAAATGTAATCTCCCATCATGTTCTCGTTATGCTGTGCTTGGTAGCGACATTCAAAGTCCAGGATATCCTGGTGGAAGCGCTCGCCTTGCTCCTCCGAGTATGCTCCCATGTTCTCCTTGAATTTATCAAGATGAGCATCAAGACATCCTACAGCCAATTGTGCCATAGTTCTTCACCAGTCTCAACCAGCTCCACATAGTTTTCGACCTTGTGATTGCCCAGGAAGCCACGAACCACTGCGGCAAAGCTGTTTCAAGCCACTTTCTCCTTACTAGTGAGCTTCTTGGGGAATTCATTGAACTCCAGGATCTGCTATCTGTGGTCCAATGAAGACAGCGGCTTTGACCTTTGCCTCAGACAGCTTAGGGAAGAAGTCTTGAAGGTACTTGAAGGCTGCCGACTCCTTATCTACAGAACCGACAAATTGTTTCATAAGGCCCAATTTTAGGTGCAGTGGTGGCATCAGCACCTTCTGGGGGTCCACCAGTGGCTCCCACTTGACGTTGTTCGTCCCCACAGAGAACTCGGTCCGCTGTGGCCAGTCCCGCCTGTGGTAGTGCGCTTTGATGTCCCTGCTATCCCAAAGGCAAAGATAGCAGGGAAACATGGTAAAACCACCTTGGAGACCCATCAGGAATGCCACCATTTTGAAGTTTCTGATGACCTCCCAGCCGTACTCGTCATACTTCAAGGCATCCAGCAAGGTCTTGATGCTGTTGTAATCCTCTTTGAGGTGCACGGAGTGAGCCAGGGGAAGAGACGGGTACTTGTTACCATTATGGAGCAGCACGGCTTTGAGGCTCCTGGATGAGCTGTCAATGAAGAGGCTCCACTCATTCTGGTTACAGTCGATTCCGATTACCTCGAACAGACTGGTCACATTGTGGTCCATCTTGACAGGTGAAGAAGCTGCAAAAAGGTTGGTGATGCTTCCTTTGATCTGCGGCTTGCACACTTTCCTCCAACAAGTTCCACTGCTTGAGCCTCAATGTCAAAAGCTCGGCATTGGACTTGGTGAGACCAAGATCTCTGATCAAGTCGTTGAGGTCTTTTTGGTTGGGGTAGTATAGGTTTCGCTTCTCAGCTCCACCGCTGAAATTGTCATCTGTATCTACCTCTTCCTCGCTCTCTGACTTGCTGCTCTCTTCTAAAGACGGCTGCTCTCTCTCCGGAGGAGTGGGTACAGGGAGCTCATGGCAGTGTGGCACCAGGGCAATGGATGAAGGAAGGTCCAGATACGTGATAGCAGGTGCATTCTTGCCAGTTTGACGTTTGGAAGGGTCCACCTTACAGAAGTAGTAGTTGCTTGAGTGGTCAGTGGGTTCCCGCCAAATTATTGGGATAACGAACTTCATGGCTCTCTTTGCCACTCTGTACCATCCTACAAAAATACATTTATTTCACCCATAACGAATGTGTAAGAGATTCTCACAACATTTTCAGAAATTATATATTTTTTTAATTGAAAATTGAAAAAACATTTTAAAATGAAAAACTTTTACAATTTCAAATTTTTGTAACAAATAACATAAAATTCCAAGCAACAATTGTCCATCTTACCGTCCAGAGTTTTTTTGCATTGCTCACAGGTGAAATGAGATGCCCAGGGTTTGTCTTGATCCCCGACAGACATGCCGAAATATGCCTTGTAGGCCTCACACATCTTAGCAGATGCTTCCACAGAGTACTTTTTCGCTCTTGTCTTGACAAATCGGCCGCACACATAGCAAAATGTGTCTGCCGGATGCTTACAGCAGATATGTATCCACTTAGGTAGCTGGAACTAAACTGAACTGGTAGGCTTAAGGCCCCTCTATTTATACTACTATTTATATTACTGGAACGTTATAGAATGTTCTAGAAGTTACTCGAAGTTTACTCAGCACTGAATATATCTGAAATGTTCTGGAAAATAGGTTAATTTTAAAATATCAATGTCCTGACCACAAAAGCAAGGTTTGTGGGGAATAATAGCCATTTTCTGTACTTTTGAGGCATAAGCAATTAGGAAATAACACTTACTACCCAGGAACAAAAAGATTGTTACACAGTGTTCTCAGCACACCTGCTCCCTAAGCCTTCACCTTCTCAGCGAATGCCAAGGCTGGGTGAATGCGGAGTGTCTGGGGCATGGGGACACGGCTTTTAGTTTTGCCAGTCATGGGATTTGTTGTTACTTTTACGATGCTGGTCATTGTGTGAAAGGGAGTGCATTTTTTGTCAGAATCTAAATTATTAAATCCACGAGGTGAGCAACAGCAGGAGGGAGTGCTTTTGGAGAACTGATTGTGATCGTGAAGGGAAGCAACAACATACCATTGTGCCTGGAGAAGAACATTTTCGATCAGTGCATATATCCTACTGTGCCATAGGCAACCAAAACATCGAGACTTGATAATTAGAATCGAACAAAAGCGCAAGAGCATGCATGGAGAGATGCATGTTTTTAATTATATTGGGAAACCCATGGGTTTGGAAACAAACACAAAATTAGAGATATCATATTGACCAGTAAGGAGAGTCGTCAGTGGGCCTGGGAAGGACCTGTCGCTAGAAGGGACGTTGACCAATGTGTCACGCTGCTGATGGAATGGCTGCCAAAGAAGATTAAATGTGTGAATTTACGACCACCACGGAGATGGGGCGACAAGATCAACTCAATTTCAGGAGCGAGGTGGATTGTGGCATTGTAGAACTGTGTGGTAGTGTGATGGCTTAGGTAGGCCATCATCCAGCAGTGGATAGAAAGACGACTGATGATTATGAATTTAAACAGACGCCCCTTTCTATTTCCACGGTCTGTATTTAGGTTAGGAATACCACGAGAGTATTGTAAAATCCAAGAAAACATTTGAAGTCAGAAATTACGTGACTTAGCTATGCATTTAAATGTTTGTGTTTGAATGCATCCAATGAAAATCACCGTCAATTGGTCAACCTCATTTTCATGTATACGTTAGCAAAGATACCTCGAGGTATCTTGGGATCGGTTACCTATTGTAGTATTGGTACAAATGACATCATCTGTATCTCACTTTACAGCGTCTGTTGCTTAGCTGATTAAATTGGGCTACAAGAGGTCAAACAAATTGCTTTTTCCAGACACTTAATTCTGGCTCCTGTTGGTGATTGACATTTTGTGTGTGCGCCCTCCAACCTAAAGAAGCAACGGCCCAGCTGACGTTAAAGGTGGTCTCCCTCGATTGACTGACTTCCGTTGGGTTTGTGCTGCGGCTTTTTCTGTCAATTATTTCTGGTGGACAGAGCAAGTCACCGCACTCGCTGCAGCCGTGCAGATTGGAAGCCGCATCACCACTAATGACTGGAAAATGTAAACGCGTATAAAGTGTTCTCCCTGCCTGACTGCAATGTCCGAATCTGGCTAGCTCAGGACAGATGTAATTGACTGTGCACAATGCACACTATCCACGGCATGCACATAAATGTCCCCAATAGCGTGTCATTATGTGATGGATTTAGCATTTGCTGCTACATTTGTAATAATAAGAAAAAGGCAATACACATTTATGGACATGAATTTCTAGAGCAAAAAAACTGCAGAGTGAAGACAAAAAAATATATATATATTTACATTATACGTAAATACATATTTTATATTTTATATTATATGGATCCTTAAAACCTTTTTTTAATCAAATTTTTATGAATTAATCAACTAATACTTATTAACCTGTAAAGTATGTGCTCATCTTTAAAGTTGGCAATAATCCACATTTCAGTAGTATTACAGCAAAATAAATCTGGCCTGTATAATAAACTTATTATTTGATTATTTTCTGGATTTTTCAACATGAAAAAAAATATTGTATTATATCGTTCCAATATTTGAATAACTTTTTTTTTAAACCCGATGACTCTTTTGTTTCTGATCTAGATCAATGTACTCCAGTTATAATACCCAAGTGTGCCACGCCTCGGCTCCCCGAATCAAGGACACATTGAATGAAGCTGAAGAGAAATGAGATTTGCCACGCAAAGAAGACGTGCCGACCATCGGGCAAAGCAAACAAGCACCACCAGCAAAATAAAAGAGAGCCACGGTTCATTTGATTCTTAGAGAGCGTTCGGGGGGGGGGGGGGATTTCCAGCGAATTAAATATGCATGAAACCTTGCAGGAGCTGCTTTGGCAGGTGAGGAAGAAGGGGTTGTTAGAAGGCAGGTGAGGGAGTGTTCGCAACGCGGCAGTTGGCAAACTGACAATGGTGGAGTCATATGAGGGAGCAGCCACGGAGGGAGGCAGGCCTAAATTTAGCAGTCAGGAGGGCCAGCTGCCTACGAGCCTCGTTCCCCATGCTAAGTAGCCCCACGTTAAAAGATCTTGAGTGTTGAACTCAATCAATCACTCAAAAAAAACCCTGGTCTAATGTCATTTGAAGGGCAGTTTAAAACGTATTCAAATTGTAAGAATAGCTTAACTATTTCACTCCTGACTTCACTGATTAACTTAAAATAACCTAATTTCATAATCATTATGTGGCAACGTTAGATTTAAAAGGGTTACAATAAAAATCATTAAACGTTCATCACTCTCTTGGTGGGTCACCTTTCATATTGTGCTGATATATATTTTTTTAATGATGATATCGCCACTAAAAGAGAGGTCACAATGTCAATTCAGTACAGTTTATGCTACTTACTTAATGTTGATAAAAAACACACTCATCAACAACACTGCCTTAAAAGAATAACATACTTGGTTACATAAAACGTGTACGTGCTATGAAGCAGGAATATTGCCTGAAACGTTACTAATTATATATGTTTTTCTTTTAAGTCAATATTGTTGAGTAGTGTGTTTAGTTTTCTTTTAATATTGCTCGTGCACGCAGCATCACCAAATTGTGTTTAATAGAGCGGTTTAGAATATTATTTCATTTTTGCAAAAATAAAATCTTGATGCTGATTTCAAACAATTATCAACAAATTAGGAGATGATGGGTGAATTATTATTGTAACAATACATTTGTTGTCTGTGCTGCGTGTGATGTTGCAGTTGTTCAGGCGAATAACAAGGGATTTCAAAACTTTTCTATTTATTATTCATGGACACATTAGTATGCATGGCTACACGAGGATTTTAAAATTGGATGTATACTGAATTAGCATTACCGTATAACTTATGTTGACCACTGGTGTTGATATCATGAGAAAAATTTCCCTTTTCCACATTGGTCTAGAGATGGATGTTCCAGTTTGGAGATTGTCAGCACCATTTATTGTTTTTTTTAACACGCTACAACTAAGGTTAGAAATAATCAATGAATTCGCTATATTCGTCTGTCTGTCTTTCCCTCAGTATGTGTCACAAAGGGGTCACCATTGCTTTGCTCAGGATAATCCAACATAAATGAAATGTTAATGTAAAGTTATGCAGCTGTGCTCTGTGAAAGCTGATCCAATATAAATGAAAATGTAGCATATGCCCTACAGAAAAATTAGCAGATTGATGGAAGAGTTTTCCAAATAAAATTTCGCGATGGCAAAAAAACCCCCAGCGTTTATAAATGGTCGTCCCCTTTGCTAAGACGAAGTCACACACAATGTACGCGCATCCCCATGGAGTCATAAGATGTGATATCAAGTTGCGACGTGTGGTGTCATTTCATTATCCAGCTCGAAAGCTAACGTTACTGATCATCGTCATCTATAATCAATCCACTGCTGGATGAAGGCCTCCCAAACCCGGCACTACCTCTCCCAAGCCGGTGTCAGCTCACCTGTACATAGGTATTGTATGTTGAACGACTTTTGCCAACCCTGCTAATCGGAGGTGCGGAGGAAGGACGTCAAACTCAACACACACAAAAACAGTTGGCAGTATGTGTACACCCATGTTATCAAAAACAAAAGATACCCCGTACTATGAATGCCAGAACGGTACACGAGGGGGTGGGTGGCCAGCACCACGCCCGACCGCCTTTGTCTCCCCAGTGGCAATGTTTACACACCGCACCAGGTACTCATTTGAGGCTGAATCGACCTAGGGGAGGCACAGGACCGGTTCAGATAATCGTCACCGGTGTTGGCCGTGAGTGTGAATCAAACCCGGGTCGTCAGGTTCATAGCGCAGGGCGCTAACCGCTACACTACCGCTCCCCGCACCCATGTTATCACACCCATATTATCACACCCATGTACACACACAAACACGCCTGGCACCTGCACGCGAGCTGATTTTTCCGCTCCGAGGCGGACGACTTTTCGCGAATGAGTTCCCTTCTCCCTCGGCTGCCACTTCCTCGGTGTCCTCTCAGCCACCGGCCCTCTTTATGGATGTGTCCTGCTCACGTTTACTTTCTTGACGGTCAAGGCAGTGTCACTTAACCCTTGTGTGCCCTCTAATCCGCGTGCTTATCTTTCTGTCTCTCAGTGGAATCCAAAGCACGTATTTCTCGACGCTACTTTGCATACCTTTCAGTTTTGTGAATTATTTTCATGAACGTCCATGTTTTAGATCCATATGTCACAGCATGTAGCGTGGATGGATTGCAATTTGTTTCACTTCAAACGTATGCCGTAAAGCCCTGTAGAATACATACGTTTGCTTGACTTTTCGTTCTTGTTTTAATTAACAGGCAATCTTAATCAACTATGTTTCTGAATGGAGTTAGTTGACTGATAACATTCCACTGATGGAATCCACATGGTCGTCAAATTGGACGCAGGAAATCAAGCATTTAGACACACTATCAGGAATGTCTGATGACTGTTGACGAAAAGTGTGAGGTATGTTACG